GGATTGGTCAGGCGGCAAGTGTCAAACAGATTGGCACCCGAACGCTTGTTCATTCAACCGGGACGTTTAAATATCATGATATAGTTAATGAGTTACGCTTATTAAAATGGTAATTTACGTAACTTTTAAATACACCGATCAATGTTTATGGATTTTGAGAAGAGAAAAATTGTGTGACGTGCATTATTAAAAATAGCATGTATTACGAAGAAGCGGATAAAATGTGTGTTATATCTTTTCCAAACCCATCTTAACTTCTCAAGATTTTGAAAAATAAAATTATATAAATTCTATTTATGTGACTTAAATTTTTCTGTTTGCATCACAGGCAAATCGGATAAAGGATATAATCAGGTATATTGAACACTAAAAATGCATTATCACCTGTTCTGATATTTTTTCTAAATGATAATTAATCTCGATTTTTATGTTATATAATTTCTTTTGTTTTTAAATAAACTATTTCAACAGCAAATAAGTTGACTTTTCATTTGCTAATAGATATATTTCCACATCTTCTTTAAAAAAATGATCTCACTGTCAGGTCCGTGATCGTAAATTCTTAAACAAGTATCTTTTCCATGCCTTTTATGGCATTCTTCGCCATGAAGCTATAACGTCATCTTTTCTATATTTGTTGAAAGCTATTTTATATAATTTTCTACCGTTTACTTTGAATTAACTCGGAAATGTCTATGAACTTCTACTATATTTCTATGAAGGGCGAAGCATTTTCTGCCCTACGCAGATTGCGCATGCACGAGAATATTCTAATTCCGGTCGATTTTTCATAGCAACGGATTGCGTCGTTAAAAGGTCTTTTGCTTTCCCTCAAGCTATCACCGTTGATTCACTTGCGATATTAACTGACATTCTGACATTAATGGTAGCCCAGTTTTTAATTTGTATAATAATTTGAAGAGTGGGTTTGGTTATGAACATTATTTAGATCTTATACCAGGAAATCTTAGAACTTATATAAGTAGAATACGTATGTCTTCACATGCATTACTGATACAAACCGGACGTTATGGTGTAAACAGAATTCCTAGAAATGAACGATATTGTATATATTGTAATCTTCGTGATATTGAAGATGAATACCATTTTATATTAGTATGTACCTGTTTCTTGAAATTCGTAAAAAAATTATATTAAGAAGATACTACTATGTTAGACCAAGTATGTTCAAAATTTATTGAATTGTTAAATTGTAATAATAAGAAAATATTGTGTTACAATTGGCTTACTATATCAGAGATGCTATGGCTAATAGAACATCCATGTCTTATAATATGTAATAATGAATGGTTAATCCTCTATGTAGGAAGTAAATAGAATATTTCATGTTGTATTCTTTATCTATATTTTCATTGTTAACAGTATGTATGTTAAGATCTATAGCTATATTTATATACATTAAATGTCATGTGACTTTTGTATAGTATATTTAAATTCTACAAATTGTAAGATGATGTACCATGTACAAATCTTGAATAAAATTTCTGTTCTGTTCTGTTCTGTTCTGTTAATTAACCCTCTAAAAATCTCATCACCGTGGGTTGTGTGGGCATTACTGCATTCCTTGAGGCAATCACCGTGGGTTCATTTGCGGTAATAACCCTCTAAAAAGCCTATAACCGCGGATAATGTGAGCTTTACTGCATTCCCTCAAGCTATCACCGTGGCTTCACTTGCGATAATAACCCTCTAAAAATCTCATCACTGTGGGTTGTGTGGGCTTTACTGCCTTCCTTGAAGCAATCACTGTGGGTTCATTTGCGATAATAACCCTCTGAAAAGCCTATCACCGTGGGTAATGTGAGCTTTACTGCATTCTCTTAAGCTATCACCGTGAGATAACTTGCAAAAAGAACCATCTAAAAGGACTAGCACCGATCGTTGTGTGACTTCTACTGCATTCATTGAGGCTATAACAGCGGGTAACCTTGCGAAAACAACCCTCTAAAAGGGGCTTTCAACGAAGATTGTGTGATCTTTACCGGTGCCCTAAGGCTGACACTGTGGTTTAAATTGCGATAGGAACCCTCTTAAAGACATATCACTGTAGGGTTGTGTGACTTTGACAACATTCCTTGAGGCTATAAGCCATCTTAAAGGCCTATCACTGAAGTTTTGTGAGCTTTACTGCATTCCATCAGGTGGGTTTACTTTCGATAAGAACCCTTTAAAATGCCTTGTTTGTGTGAGCTTAAATGCATTCCCACATTCAATCACGGTGGGTTAATTTGCGATAAGAACACTCTTCATGTAATATCACTATTAATATTATATTAACTGCATTCCTTGAGGCAATCACCGTGGGTTCATTTGCTATAATAACCCTCTAAAAAGCCAATAACCGTGGATAATGTGAGCTTGACTGCAGTTTCTCAACCTATCACCGTGAGTTAACTTGCAATAAGAACCCTCTTAAAGGTCTATCACACTGGGTTGTTTGAGCATTACTGCATTGCCTCATTCTATCACTGTGGATTAACTTGCGATAAGAACCCTCTATAAGTCCTATCATCGTGGTTTGTGTGACCTTAACTGCACTCCCTCACGCTATCACCGTGAGTTAACAAGCCACACGAACCCTACAAAAGGCCTTGTCATCTTGGATTTTGTGAGCTTTACTGCATTATATCAGTCTATCACTGTGGATTAACTTGCGATAAGAACACTCTAAAAGGCCTTTTAACATGGGTTGTGTGACTTTTACTACATTATTTGAGGCTATCACCATTGGTTCACTTGCGATATGAACCCTCTCAAAGGCATATCTCCGTGGGTTGTACTGCATTCCTTCAGACTAATACCGTGATACTTCACTTGCGATAAGAACCCTGTAAAAGGCCTATTACTATGGTCTGTGTGACTTTTCCTTCATTCCTTGAGGCTATTATAGTGGGTTCACTTGCGACAAGAACCCTCAAAAAGGCATATCAAATGTTTGCTGTGTGAGATTTACTGCATTTCTTCCGGCTATTTTCGTGAGTTTGCTTGCGTTATGATACATCTTAAAGGTGTATCACCATGGGTTAACTTGCAATAAGAACCCTTTGCAAGACCTTTCACATTGGGGTTTTCAAACTTAACTGCAATCCCTCAGACTAACACAGTGGGTTAACATGTAATATGAATGATCTTAAAGTCTTATCACCGTGGGCTTTGTGAGTTTTTACTGCATTCCTTGAGGCTATCACAGTATATTGCGATAAGAACTATCGGTAATGCCTGTCACCGTGGGTTTAGTGAGCTTTTTTGCATTCCCTCATTATATCACCTATAGCCCTAGCCCAAGCAATATTTCCGGGAAATTTCCGCGAGGCATGTTTATTTTTTTTGTTTAGACTTATTTTCTCCAGCCAACCGTTTAAACACCAGTTGTCTGATTCCGTTGCGGATTCGTTTCTTTACAAGTTCGGAGGGTATTCTTTGTACAATATGAAGACCAAAGCTCTTATTCAAGCAATATGTCATTGAGATTTTCGCGTGGTGTGATTGTTATTTGGCCGGCGATTTGTTCTTTCTGTATATAAAGTGTATAAGTTTTTGTTAAAAGCACCATTTTCTTGAGGCATCCGTTAAAACACCATTTGTCTGATTCCGTTGCAGACTTGTCTTTCTATAAGATTTGATGGTGATTTTTGCAGAATATGAGGAACAAGGCCCTAACCGAGAGATGACATTTTTTCTGTTTCCTTTTAACCAGCGATGTGTACATAAAGTGTATAAATTGGACGTCTTGTCAGGGATTTTTTCATGTGAGAAAACTATCCATTTAGCTTACGAAATCTCGGTGGTTATACTCAGGTGCCCGTTTGTACCTGAAATAATGCACAGAGGGATCCCTTAAGTCTTCCTTGACCATTAAAGCTGGAAAGTCGCCATGTGACCTATATTGTTTTGTGCATATTAAATCAAACCAAATTAAAAAAAAACAACATTATATAGCTTTAAACTATAAATAATGATTGTAAAAGAGATAGAACAGCAAAGAGTTGAACATATTCTTTTCAAATTTTTTTTTTTCAAGGAAGTTTAGTTCCTGGAATTTGTATTAAAAAACCAGGTCAAAAATCAAAGAAGCAAATGCAGCTTTCATTTATTAACAACGTGCGTTTAACAGTGTAAATTTTTGTAAAGTGTTTCTACAACATTAAAGATAACATAAAAGAATAAACATTTAAAATTAACATTAGGCATAGGTTGATAATTAAAGACAACGTGTAGATAAATAGGTATTGTTAACACAAAGTAGTCTTAAAGCAGTGTGGACGGGTGTATTCAATTTTGAAGACTGATATATTTTCTATTGTTACATTTGTCCACTTCATAAGGGAGGGGAAATAACTTAAAATTTAACCATGTCTAAAATAAAACGTGGTATTTAAATACAGTATTGTGTTTCACTCAAATAAGACATTGACCGTTAAAATGACACTGACTGTGAATGTCGAATAACTTTCTTATTAGCGGGGACGCGATTTAATACCCCATTCAGGTTCATTATATGGGTATTTCACTACTAGTATCTTACATTTTAAATAGTTAAACCTTACACCTTATATAAACAATGTGACTGTGTATAATGTATTAAGTTTGAAATGTTGTAAAAAGTATACTGAAATCATTACTAAAGAATAATCAACAATTAATGTCACTTTGATTTTTTATATATATAATAAGAAGTCACGGTTGCCTTACATTATCGATCAAAACGGAAAAGGGCTCATCAAAAACTTGTGAATAAGGAGCAGCAAAAATTTGTGATGATACCGCTCACAAATGAATAGAAGAAACATATCTGGATCTGGATAATTCTGTTATACATGTTAGAAAAAAATGTAAAATGTTTTTGTTCCTTTTAAAACTGTATGTTGTACTCGCATTATAACTCTTTTTGGGACAGTATTATCGCTGATTAAACAAAACCTCGCACAGTTCAGTGCCCTTGTCCTTGAATTTAAACAACCTATGTTAATCGTAATCACACCATATCTTACATACAATTATCTTATACACGTATATACATATGTGTACATATATGATTAATATATCATGATAATAAGATGGATAGAAAGGTTTATGATTATATCGTTGTAGGATGCGGGGGTATTGGAAGTGCTGCTTTATATTGGCTGTCTAAACGCGCCGGATCTGGTTATACTTTACACTGTTTCTTTGTGCATTTTTTAACCGGGTCACATACTAGATGTTGACCTTTGCGTGTAATTGTTAAAGTTCGCTTTAAAACAGCATTTAGTTTACACGTAAGTATATATACATGTACTTACAGATATACCTACTATTTTTAATCTAGTGTTTCTATAAAACTATCATAGTATCAGAGTTGGATGCATTATATTATAATTGCACAGTTTGAGCACAGGGAAAAGACGCTTTAATATTATACTATCATCTACCGCTACTCGACTCCCCCTACAACCCCAAAATATGTAATATGTAACTTGTTTATTTTCTTTGTAGGTGTACTAGGAATAGAACAATTTGAGCTTGGTCATCACAATGGAGGCTCCCAGGATCACTCAAGAATCATGTAATTAGTTTCTGTATGCTAAGCTAGAGTTTTATTTCGATATACACTCTGACATTCCTGTTTTAATGTCTAATAATTTTGTTTTAATAAGGTCCGAGTCGCCCATTCTTTTGGCGTAAATTACACGTTCCTAGTAAGTACGAAGGTTGTCCGGAAAGTTCATTTACTTCTTCTGTTTTTACTGTTAAACAATTCACATTTTTTTTTACAAATTATACCAGCAAAAATATACATATTTAACAAACACATTCACTAATAATTACTAAGCAGTCTTTACATACAACATACCATATATACATTGTCAAGGAACATTTTGACAGCGTCGTATGTTTGTTATATCGGTAACCCAGACTATTTACCGTATACCAGTATATATAAATACGGAATGTGTACATTGGGTTCCGAAGAAATGAACCAAGGCGACTGTGACGGTGCAGTGTTATACTTGTAACATCATTTTTGTAATATTTAGAAAAACATGTAGTTCAAAATTTTACGACATTTAAGCATAATGGGTTTGTGTGACATTTTTCTTTTATATTTCAGACGCATGGCTTATCATGATGATATTTACACGAAGCTGACTCCAGAAACATACAAAGCGTAACTATGTTGTATTTCACAACATTTAAAAAAAAACATAATATGCGTGCATTATACAGTCGAGGAATATTCAATTATTTATTAAAAATTAAAAGTAAACTGTTATATATTTTCAATACTGTGTTAATTAGGGATCGAAACAAGTAGTGCTTCTGTATTCGCGTAGAGAACGGATTTTAATACTCGAGTACTGAGTCTTTCTTCCAATCAAATACTCGGTAATTTGGAAGATTACTTTGGTTTTTTCCATCTTTCGTCCATTTCTATCTTTCTGTAAAACGTCATGTAACGAAAAAGTTTTTTTATAAGAATGACACCGTCAACGATCCACTTTTACACATTCGCGTCTTACTAGAAATGCGACGGATTACCTTGAAAATAAAAAAATGTTAATTAATAATCTCAATTGTTTACTTTTATGCATCGATATTCTTGAAATTAATCTCTAAATAAATACCAATATTTAAAGTGTTTTTTTCCCTTTCATAAAACGACATATATGAACGAGTTTAAGATTTTAATGTATCAAATTGTAGTGTATGAAATTGTAATGTATAAAATTGTAATGTATATAATTGTTATGCAGTTTCGCCGTGGCAGAGGAAGAATCGGGAATACAGCTGGTGTATAAAACCGGAGGACTGTTGCTGGCAAAGAAAGGTGAAACAGATCATTTGGCCAAAAAGTATGCAGATGCTATGGCAACGCACAACATCCCGTTAGTATATGTATTGCAGATCTAAAAAGAACATGTATGGCGTGTTGACGTCTTACGTTTATGTTTTTTAGATTCTTACTTTTAATTAAAGGAATTTCACTGAGGTTCAAAGGTCAACAAACATAAAATTTGAATTTCTTACATAGATCAGCTGGGCACTTAAAAGATTTCAATTTATAATAGGGAGAATTTTCACAATTGTAATAATTATTCTAATAACAGGGAGAGAGCGAATTATCTGAAATTTTGAACACAAGTTATTGGTCTAGACTTACATCAAATGTAACAATCTTGAAAATTTATTTCGAATCCCGTAATATCAAAAAATCCTCATTATCTCTGACAAAGGTTTGCATAATTTGTGGTATTGACTAGATTATCTTCAATATTGTTGATGTTAATGATGATAATGCCACTGTTGTTGTTGTTGTTGTTGTTGTTGTATTTGTTGTTCTTTATCTGGTGGTTTTTTATGTTGTTTTTTGGAATATCACATAATGTTGGTGGTTGCTTTTAATGGGTGTGTCTTTATTCGGTGTTATTTGGAAGACTCTCAGACTTTGAGGAGTTTTTTGATTTTAGGTACGAGTGGTTAAGTGGTAGACAGCTGCGAGCAAGATACCCGCAGTTTACAACAGACGACAAATATGTGGCAGTGTACCAGAAAGATGGCGGTCTTGTTGACGCAGCCATGACTAATGCCGTACATATTCAGCTTGCAAGAGGTAAAGGGGCGTCTGTTGTTGAAAACTGTCCCGTATTAAACCTGGCTAGAAATGAAAATGGAACTATCACGGTAAGTGACCCTATCACAGAAATTGTATCACTGTTTTAATTTTACTTGTGTTCGCATTCAAAAGTAAATCTGTGTCTGTTACATTGTTTAATAGCAATTAAATGAAATGAACTCTTATAATAATTTTGATTAGTAGATAATTTGTACTTTCTTTGTAAAATTAGTATTAAGGGTAGTAGTGAAGGGCGCCATGATATAATATTCAATTAATGCATTGGACGCTGCAATTAATGTTGCGATCTTATAGCTAACCATTTCAAACACGTTTATACACGTAATAATGTTGTTATTTGACTTAACTTAGCATAAGTAACTGAATGTATCTGTTACTTTTCTAGATTAATACACCAAAGAGCGAATTTATTTGTAAGAAAGTCGTTGTCACGTCAGGAGCTTGGATTAATCACGTGGTTGGATCTGTCGGCGTTCACGTCCCTATTTACGTCACACAAGAACAGGTGACGTATTTGGCGACGTCACATATGAAAGAATACGTAAAAGACAAGTAAGTGATGATATAGAATAAATAAAAATGAAATAAACAAGAAACTGATATGGATGCCGACAAAATTTGCTGTAACCACGTGTATGTGAATTCTTACTTATTCTTTACCTACTGAATTCCTGCAATTTTGCCCTGTTTGAATTTGGAAAAATCCATTGGCAAATTTAAGAGAATTTCAATATTTTAAAACCAAAGTGAGCTACCAGCAGTAAAGATACTTATCAAATTGCCCGGATGTGTAGACTGGCCTTGCTCTACACTGGTGGTAAAGGCTTAAGCAGAAATTAAAATTATGTCAAGCTCAGTCTGTTTTCGTTGTAATACATGCTAGGATGAAATGGTTGACATGTCACATTCTTTTAAAATTAATCCTCAAAACATAAAAATGTTTAATTTTTAATGTTTAATTCAAAAGTCGACATGTGTATTTGAAATGCGTATGACGCATTATTTAAATTGCCAAGTTAAATTTGCGGAAGACATGATATTAATACACTGATCATTTTGTCTGCAGATTTCCAATATTCATCTATCACTCTACAAAACACGACATTTACGGTATGCCTATACATGGTAACAGCGGGTTTAAAATTGGCGTAGACGCTGGGGGGCCTTTTGTTACAGCAGAGTCTAGGACCTTTACACCTGACCCAGTCCGGGAAAATAACTGCATTGACTTTCTGAAGGAAGTGTTACCCACGGTGAGTTGTACATAATTTTTTAGTTATTTTGTTATATATCATATTGAACGTCAAATGTATAAAAACTAAATATTAAAAGAACTCCGCTGAGGTCAAAAACCCTAAAAATATATAATTTTAAATCCTTAAGTATATCAAGTGAAACACTTAAAATGAAAAAAAATGCAAATGTTGATGGTAAAATATATTCGGAATAAAATTGAATATCTTTTTTTTGTACGATTCCTAGCTTAATTTCAGTGAAAATCGTTCATTTAAAAAAAAAAGAGAAAAAAAGACTATTCTGGAAAAACGCGGTGAGAGAATATTCTGAAAGCTTGCTTGAACACAAATAATTGGTCCAAACCTACATCAATATCGGAAAAGTTTTTCCAGCCCCGTCATATCAAATAACCTCAGTGGAGTCCTTTAAATGGATGTTTTGAATAAGTAGACAACGTATTGTCATGTATATTTTATCATTAAAAACACTTGTTAAATATGGTCACGATTTCATACTAGCGCGCATTTTAAGCTGGATTATAGAATGATTAAAGAATTCGAAAGTAAAAGAAGACTTCAGGTGATCCTGCGTGCATAGCTTCGGGCACGAGCGGATGTTAGTTGCTCCACGGACCGTCTGAAAGCTACCTTATGTGAAAGATTCTGAAGTAGCTGGCAAGATTCAAGCCAACTAAAGTGAATGACAAAATTATTTGAAACCAATCATCGACATTCGCCAAAACGCTACTTTATCTGTTTCTCTATCATTATGCGTTGAATTGTTAATCCTAATCACGCTAAATATCTAACATGGAATTGTCTATCATAACCGTTCATTATTATTAACAAAATTTAGTTTTAGATCGAACATTGCTGGCACGGGTGGGTAGATTCAAATAATGACATTCTATCGATATATTTTTTCAGTCTGTGGGACCTATTCTGTACAGTAAAACATGTTTGTATACGATGCCTCCTGACCGGAACTTCATCATCGACACATGTCATAGAACTGGTTTTGATGACGTCATCGTATGCAACGGCGCCGGACATGCTTACAAGTAAGTAGTTAGGATCAGCCGAAGTGTTGCAGTATTGTACTTAATAATTGTACAAAATAACAAAGTTGTAATACGATATCAACTTAGCTTTGCCTGATACATTTAAAAGGGCAGCATGTCATGAAAAATAGATTTTTAAAACATTTGACGACATCATACGTAATGTATACGTAAAAGCGTAGCTGACGACCCAGATTTCAAAACCATTACGATAAGCGATGGTGATAGTGGTAAGTATGTCGTAAAATATTAAACAACGTTTATGAATCAAGTTGTTACTGATAAAAGTGGATTGGTCTATAATGGTCATATTTTTTTCCAATATTTGATAAAACAATAAATATTTATCTTTCCTGTATTCTTATTAAATATTTCTTGAAAAAAAAATGTCTTGATAAAGATTCAAGTGATCTTGTATGAAAATTTGTATGATGAATAATTTATTTAATAATATTTTGTCAAAGAATACTTAAGTGTCTGCTGTATATAGCCATGTTATATCGTACCATGTATCTCACACTTACCAACAACATCCATATATAGGTTTGCTATCATGATTGTATGTATATCTGACACAGGTTTGCCGGTCTACTGGGCAAGATCCTCGGTGAAATGGCGATAGACGGAAAGACTCAATATGATATTTCACCTTTCACATTAGACAGGGAGGCTCTAAAAGACCCGGACTATAAACCGGTATTTTTCATGGGTACCGGAAACAAGTTGCCTGGTGGTGGCGAGAAGAAAGACAAGGCAAAACTGTAAAACAAGACTAATATGAAATGTTCAAAGCATTGAAAAATAACCAGTAACGTATAAGACTTTTTTAACGAACGTAATATGTTGGTGTGATATGAATTTAATCAGAAATAATGTCAAATTTCTTGACCAAGGCGCACTATTTATATTTAAATGTGTCACCTGAGTGCAGTAACGGGTTTACTCCTATTAAGTTCAAAAGAAGTGCCCATTACTGCACTAAGTTGACGATTTGAGGGTTCAAATCACATGTAAACTAAAGATATCGATCATTATGGCGATTTTCCATGAACATACATTTGTGTATTATTTAAGGCAGGGGTAAAAAAATATTGAATATATATTTAATGAAAATATTATAAACAATAATATAGAAACAAAATGAAATCAATTTAACATTATAATTTTATTCTACAGTTAACAGCCACAATTTATTTCTAAATACATGAATGTATTAGTTATTAGTTCTATCTGGAAAGACAGTCTTCCCATGTTTAAAAAATATAGCTGGAATGTATTATAAAATGAATCAGTATGCAGTGTTTTATGTAAAGTATCACAGATTTTAGTAAATATTTTGACATTTCAAAATGAAAAATGAACAAAAATAAAAAGTTAATAAAGTGAAATGAAACAAACGTCTACCCTGTAATAAAATACATGTATTGTAAATGTTACATATATGTTACATGATTTGAGTACATGTCATAAATTAGTAATGTATGAGTAAAAATAAAGTAGTAAATTCTGTTTGTTAGTAATTGTATGATATATTCAGTAAATGATAATAGATTTGTATACTTAAAAGCTTAGTTTTGTATGATTAATATAATAATAATTGTTTTGTATATTAAATAAAGGTTATCAATGAATATTCTGTGAAAATATATAAGCTTTAACTATTTTTCTTCAAAAAGGTCTAAAGGTATTTTTTATCATTTTTAAATCATTAGTTTTGTGGAGTCAGTGAGTATATAAAATTGTATCACAGATAAGGTTCGTGTGTGATGACACATGACGTAACAAATATGACGATATGACCATATTCCTGTAAGCCATATAAAACTGTGAATTTCTTGCATGCATTCAATCACTCACACGATCTTTATCGTCACCAACATCGCTTGATGACAATTTGTAAAAATATCAAAATATATTTATTTTTTTCTTTGCAATAATTAATTATTATTGTCGCCATTGCTTTGTGACGATGTGCCCCTATTTGTGTTGATGTAGAAATGTGAAAATATGAACTGTTGTATTTAATCGTCACCATCGTCCTCGTCCTCGTCAACGCTCGTTCCCTCACTATCGTCCTCGTCCTCGTCATCGCTCGGTACTACACCATCGTCCTCGTCCTCGTCAACGCTCGGTACTTCACCATCGTCCTTGTCCTTGTCATCGCTCCGTACTTCACTATCGTCCTTGTCCTCTCCAACGCTCGGTACTTCAACATCGTCATCGTCCTTGTCATCGCTCGGTACTTCACCATCGTCCTTGTCCTTGTCATCGCTCGGTACTTCAACATCGTCATCGGGGTCTCCCTCTTCAGTAGGGAATTTGACATCCTCCGGTATTTCTATCTCTAATGGCTCAAATTCAGCTGAAAGACAACAACATAACTTTCTATTTCAACTATAATCCTTCAAAAAATGTTTGACAATACTATTCTATAGATTGTTCTATACATTTTGTATGACCTGCAATGCTTGTTTTAGACTTCTATAGATTATATGCATGTATATATATACACATGTATATGTAAAGATATGTTTCCTAAACACTTTGACATGGAAGATCTAAAGCAATTTGTCCGATATTTTCGTATAATTATGATGATCAATTGATAAAACATATATGCATGAAAACATGAAGTATACTCGTGTATATGTGCAAAATTTTGTAGTATTTTAATATAAAGTTTTAAATGTCCTTCGAAAATATGTTAATTATACAACCAATAATTTATTCATTCATGAACATTATGTAAAAGTATGTACTCATGGCAAATGATGGCATATCTATACATGTTGAAACAATATTTGTCAATGGAGCGAATTTTAGGTTTTATTGATATAAGGTTATGTGCTGGGATTAACAAATACATGTAGATCTGTACAATCTATTTGGATTTCAAGACGTTTGAAGCTCCACAACCTCAAGTGTCTGCTAATATGTCCACACACCGGGTATTGCCAGAGGTAGCTCTGTTCAGACATTGACGAAAAAATTTTTTTCACTCTTAAACAGTTTTCTACAGTACTACAAATGTTATTTGTAACTTTATTCCATGTCGCAAAGTAAAAATTACTGTTTTTATGCGTCAGTTTTTATTATAAAGTTGCTTATACGTTTCTTTATTAAAATATTGCAATTTTACTTAGTGAATCATAGTTAATGTCGTTTGGACAGTATTATTTTAAACTTTGCATTTATTTGAAATTAAATAGGATATCGGCATACTTGATTTTGAGTTACCAACCCTTGAAAATGATATAAAAGAGGAAATCTCGCTTTCAGGGGCAGATAAGTTAAAAATCAACATAAGGAACCCAGTTTTTTTCCATAAATTTTGTTTAATGTTCTGATATTTTTTTCTTTAAAAGAACGCAAAATTTCAGAACATTCCTTGACTTGATCTAGTGATGAAAAATAAAGGTAGACCCCTAGAATGCTGCAGTTGAATCAAAATTGTAATGTAAAAATACTGACTTTGGTGTAATTATTAGAATACTGGTGAATGCCCGTTTATTGGTAACCATGCGTTTTTAGAGTTCGATTAATGTATTTTATTCTATGATAGGGATTAAATAGCCCGGACATTTTTATGGCTACACAGTATCGCTACTTTCTCTTTTCGATTTGCAAGTCTAGGATAAGGTTAGAAAAAGTTTGTTTAACATTTTTGTCAAAAATTATTTACATAAGTCCGTTTATCTTGCCGTTTAATTTGTAGTTGTTGAATTTAAGGTAGTATTTGGATTATGGTTGGTTTATAAGAGTCGATGGTTATGGTTTATTAGGAATTTTTGTAGATTTTTTATTCGAACCATGGATGTTCTGCTGTGAGCTGTATTGGTTTTGCACGATTTAGATAATTAAATTAATTTAATAATGTTATAAATCAGTAAAATTGTGTGGAATGAGACGAAGAATGTTTTAAATATTTTTTTCTTTTCTTCTTGCATTTATACAATTTCAACCGAGCGAAATCTTCGCAGCAACATGCCTAAGGCTTAAACAAAAAGCAGAAGCCGGGCGAGGGGCCAAGGGGTGGATGTGCTTGGCTTTTTGGAAGCAGTCCGGCAAAAAAGGAACACCCCAAGTTGTGAAGCGTCTACCGGGTCAGAGCAAGTTTTGCCAACGGGGTCGTTGGAGCAGCCTCCAGTGGTTGCTAGTGCCGATGAGATACAGCCCACAGGTAGCACAGAAGGTAATGTTGAGTTTGTTTTTGACCCAATACCTGTTGTCAGTGTACATAATCAGTTAGGCCTGCATGTTGCTCCTGCCACTAAAAATAAGATTATTTCTGGTTCTTATGTTGATTTTGCTGTGCTTTTGGAAAGTCAACCAGGCGAGCCGGCTCAGCGCCTGAACATTAGCTCAACTGGGCAATTTTTTATAAAACTTGTACAGCAATCTAAATCAATAAATACAATTACAGACTGGACTGATGTATTCTTGGGGTATGCTTCTATATATTTAGCTGCACATCCACATAGGATTCAGGAGCTCCTGAAATATATGAATGCCATAAGGACTGCTGCAAGGACTGGGATGGAAAGCTTATGACCAACAGTTCCGGTTGCGTCTTGCAGCAGACCCTACTGGTATTCGTTTTGATAGGATTGATTGATTGAGCTCTGGTTGCTCTTTGTAGGACCATCCAATCATTATGGTGCGTTTACTGAAAGGGTTCAGCCAAAATTATGCTATAATTTTATTACAATAGGTGTACTAGAGTGCAATGTCCGTATAGTCACATTTGTTTGAACTGTGGTGGTAATCATCCTTTTAACATATGTAGGTCTTAATTTAGCAGGATGCAGTTCCATAAAAGTAGGCCATTCCGGCCAAGCAGGGCATCTGCCCCCCAGATCCCACGCTTATTTGAAGTTAGACCAATATTCACTCCCCCGAATGCACAAAAATTCTGATTTAGACCTAGTGAAGCACTTATCAATTTACCATTACTTACTTCATATTTGAACATTTATGCAAATGTAAATAAAACAGATGCTGAATTACTTAAAGAGGGGTTTTTTT